CGGTAACATTTGCTATAACTTTTAAATCTCAACAGTAAATGCAATGTCTCAGATTGTATAAAATACTTTGTATTACATAGAGAAATTAAGGCTTTATAAACTCGACTCGTCATTTAGTCAATTTGCTTATGTAATTTATTTAAATACCCATTTTAATCTTATATGGTTGAAACTATAATTTGTTTTTATACATAGAAGAGGACGGGTTAAGCTACTTTAAAATGTTAAATTAACTTTTTCATTATCATTTTTTTAAATGGTATAGCAAACCTAAATGGAAGGATATTCGAGGTTTGGAAGGAAGGATCCAGTGGTAAAGAATATTTCTGAAAGTTGCTTACTAAATTTCAATGGGCAATATTCATCAGAGTCATTTTGTCCTTATCTCTCTTCAGATAAAATGAGGTGATGAAGGGCTGGTAAACGAATTTTCCTGCAATGATATGAGTAGGCCTCACGAGACCAATGAATTTCCCTAGATCCTGACTCTAAAATGAAGTAATGCTTATCTCAACTTAGGAAGAAAGTAATCTAATTATCAAGTGTGATTTTTTGCAAGGGCTGAACTGTACATCTAGTGATTGTTCTCGGTAATACTAATGGATAATTAAATTTTGAATATGCGCTTTAGTATACTTCTTTTTTACTATTGTCATAGATGTAGCATTATCGTACAATTTACCATAACGATGGTTTAAATTATTAATAAAAACTTAATAGGAGGAATCTAGAGGGCCTTCAAACTTTTCGAAAAGTATCCTTTAGTACGCTTCTCCAAATTTATTTTAATTTTTTTTTAAGCAACAAGTGAAAATTTGTAAAGAGGCTGAAGCTACAGGCATATATTGTCAGATAAACGTATTATTAAATGCCCGTGAAGTTTAATCATATAAATTCCTTTGCCCTTTCCTTAAATATGGGTACAATAAATAGTAGTTTTCGTCCGCCAAAGCAAATCGATGGAAATAAGTTTTAATTTTTTGATTAATTTTTGGCATTTATGTAGTTCTCCGTCAAAACAAAAATTATTGCTTTTTGCCAGTTGTAATTTTATTTGAGACCTACCTATGAACATGATAAGAATGTTAATTAGCTTTCAACCCAAAAGGATTTGAGCTTTTAAGAGAGTACGACTTCGACACTTCTAATAGATCGATCAAGTTTTACTGGAAATACTAGCCATGGCTAATTATTCGTTATCTGATTTAGTAATCCGTGTAACTATATAAGGGAATTGAATATAGGAAATTGCTGCTCTTTCATCTGCTTGGAAATAAAAGCAGATTAACGCATCGCACTAATCAGATATAGAGACTTTAAAATGGAAATAAGTAAAGTCGATGCAAGAAATTTAATAGCAGCTTCGGTTATTTTAAAAGCCTAGGATTTATCTGTGAATAATTATAAACAGAATGATTATCGTGAGTGTACTTTGATTGCTCATGAGAAATCCAAATAGAAATATAATTGTACTTTAAAATTAAGCTACCTATTTTTTCTCTTTACCTAATAATGTTTTTTAATCACTACATCAATATTTGCCATTTTGTATCAGAGAAATCATTTGGCCTACATTCCAGAAGTGCATGAATCTCAAGGAGATACAATCTTAGATCTAGTGGATAGCCTAATGCAGGACATCATTGATCAAGCCAAATTAATTCCCCAATTAGTACAACCAACCATGCCTCCTACTCCCGGCATCGTAGATAGTACCACAGAAATTACCACAGAAACAGGAACAGCAGTCGAAAACACTGCCACTCAAAGCCTGAACATCAAACAGAATGCCGGCTATGCCCAACAAGTAGCAATGGCACCAGAAAATGCAGATTTAGTTAGGAAAATAACGGAGCATGTTCGTTCCGCAATGCGTCAAGCGGCTGATTACCAAAGTAGCCTCGAAGCAAATTATTCGATCTATTGGGGTGAGGACAGAAAAGAGTTTATTCGTCAATTCTGCCGCTATGGTAGGCTCCTGACTAAAGACGACCTAGGACCAACTGGAGAAATCGAACTGCCGGAAAATCCTCCGACATTGGAGCAGTTTAGAGAACAGATTTTGAAATACGATAGAGTCTATGAAGAAGTTGAAAGGATAGAAGATACTCGCCTCTTTGACTCTTGGTTAAAGGCGGATTTGAAGCCATTTAAGCAATCATTATTGGCTGTGATTCGGCAATGGAGTGACAAGTTTAAACAATATTTGGTTGATCATGTCACATCAACTTTAAATGGATTATCGCTGTTTATTGATGACAGCACAACTGACCTAAAACTTGAAGGCGAGGCAGAAGAAGTTGGTTACAACAAGCTAGTAACCGTGCTTGAAAGACTGAAACTTATTCGTGAAGCCGAAGATGCTACTGATGCTGGCTTTGAACCGCTTAGAGAGACAGTTGCGATGCTGAAAGAGTTTGGCGAGGAGCTTCCAGATGCAATGACAAAGTTGTTAGAGGTAAATTAAAAGTGAATACAATAAACATTTCACATTTCATATTGTAATATGGTATTTAGGTGATAAATGTGCTTGAGAATCATGATTCTTAGAAGCCTATTTAGCGAGGCGTTAGTATGCATGCATTCAAAGGCTTGAGAAACAGTGTGGGAAATAATTCTTCGAGTAGTACAGATGGGGTGGCAGGGATGGAATGAAATACTTGAACCAGGCGGATAGGAGGCGGATTTACGGGGCAAGACTGAGACTCTGATAAGACCTATGGGAAGAGGATTGCGTAATAATATAGCAGACTCTGATCAACATTCCCAGCAAAAGGGTGAAGGAGAGTGAGGGGGTGAGAAATCCAGCGTGGGGTGTGGAGAATTCTCATGAAATCAACAAAAAAGGGCACACCATACCACATTTATATGAGTAATTAAGAAATTGTGATTATGAAGGGGTGATACGAGGACATATTATAGGTGAATTGGCAAGGACAGAAGGAAAGATACCCCAACAGTTTAGCAGACAATTGGTCAAAGGATCGACTTCACTCGTCTTTTTGACGAGTTGTAGTGTGGTTCTAAGAATGACAAGGCGCAATGACGATGCCGAATACGATGTCGGCGAAGCGTTTGGGAATGTATCACGTCCACAGACCGACTCTGGAAATTATCATGCATATTATGGACTCCGAATTAGGTGCGTTTCTCTAGGTCTTCCTATCAATATGACCAAGTTGTGAAAACAAGGTCAAACAACTTCTATACAACGAAAAGAGATTGCGACTATACAAAAGGCCACACCATCTTGGTCTTCATATCTTCAATTATCCAAATTATAAATGGTTTTGACAGTATCCTGTGTGTTCCAAATTATCCATACCAAAGTGAATTTCCACTAATATTATGTGACGAATGGTGGTTTAAATATATATTTATATAACATATCAACTATTACCATCACTTCCTCCAAAATCAAGAACTAATGTACTTGTAATGTGTAAATTTGTTTCTGCAAAATTATAAATGGCCACGCAAAAAGTAATTGCTTTTCAACTTTGTTTAATTGAGTTTTCTATTAAAATATTCTTTTAGTTCTTACCGGAGCAATGGCATGAACTCAAGAACGTAGCTATTCTAACCAAACAGAAGGTGCAACCATTGCAGGAACAAGAAGTTCAGAATATCCGCCTAATGAGTCAACGCTACGATCAAGATTCAGCACGCTTGAGATCTGAATTCAGTGAAGCAGATGTATTTCTGTTTAATTGTGAGGAACCCTACATCGTTCTAGATCAGGTTAGCCCTCTTAATGTAATTGCAAGCATGCAATCGTAGAGAATACTTATCTGAGTGAGTTTTCCCCTGCAATCATTTTCCCCTTAGTCTAAATTATGGATAAAGGATATGGTGATAATGCTCTGCAATATGTTTAACTGATCGAGCTATGATCAATATAATATGCAAAGGTGAAACACAGAGATTAAAATCAAGTGAACAGACATTTATCATTAAAAAGAGAAGCCTCCCCATTTAAGCTTTATTATACTTTAAATTGTGGT